CTGACCTCAAGTGATTCTCCTGCCTCCCAAAGTACTGAATTATAGGTGTGAGCCACCACACCCACCCTAATGTAGGTGATTTTTAACATTTATAAATTTCAGTGTTTTCCAGTTTATGAAAATGAGTACTATTTTTTATATTGGAAAAACATTTTTAAAATTCCTCCCCTGGTTACCCTTTAACTGCAATAAGCTCATTAAAATGGCTTACAGAGAATGTCATTACCAGCTGAATCTTACCCACTTTTTCTGGAAGGAGATTCATGCCTGTTACTGTTACTCCCCAGGATTGCTGTATGTCCTGGTCATACATCACTTTCAACCCAGATCCCAGACTAGTACACTTGCCATTCTGTAAAGGAGAATATTTGGGGAAGTGCCCAGTCTCCAGAAGCTTTTTCTGTTGCAAATGACAGAAAACCTGTTTTAACTTGGTTTAGGCAAAAAAGAGAATTTCTTGGCCTAGGAATTATGTTAGTTTCAGGTGAGGCTACACCCAGGGCTCTAATGATTGAATAGGAACCCAGTTTCTCTTTCTCACACTTGGCTCCTCCTTATCGGTTGGCTCCATCCTCAAACCAGCATTCTCATCATGGCACCAATATGGCTGCTAGCGGCTTCCGGGGAGTCCCTTTCCGGGGAGGATCAAGTGACTTCTGTTTCAACGACTTGAATGGATGAGGTGCTGGCATTGGTCAGAAGGAAAGGGTTCTCTGGGGTTTTTAGTGCTTGGCTTAAGCCCACATGCCTCTCTCCTCACCCTTTACTTCTGGAAGCAGAGAATGGGCATTCATTCTCCAGGAGAGCCCGTAGACTGAGGATGGGGGAGGAGAAAATTGAGCAACAATGATCAAAGCAGGCGAGAAAGGGGCTGGGCAACAAAAAATGAGAAAAATCCTCATACTTGGACATGACAATAGATAATAGGAGTACTGGGGCTGCAAGCTCAGCCATCATATCTCAAGGCCCAGGGCACAGAGACAGGCAAGTGAGTTCTGGTCCATGGAGGAAAAGGACTGGGCTGCTGGGGTGGGTACTTTGAGTTGGCATGGAGGATAGATCTGAGACAGCATAGCTGGGGCAAACATCAAGGTTAGTTGGAAAAAAATGAAGTTTTAATAAATGAATTCACGTATGCATTCATATATTCAATAGTATTTGAAAGGTCCACTCTATGCCACACACTCTGTTAGTGGAGGATTGGATTTGTGCAAAGGGCTCATATATGTTGAGAACCAAACAGAAACTCTCAAATGATGAGGCAGCAGGGTGCTACAGCAGGGCAAGGCGGGGTTGTGGAAAACCGGAGACTGAATACCCTGCCTGACCGGCCAGTCTATTTCCAGTACTAGTTAACTGTTATCAAGAGAAAGTGCCAGGGAAATATTGACACGTCTTCCCTCTAAACTCCCCCAAATCTGTATTTTTATATGAGATCAATTTTTACATGTTAACATGTAATGCAAAGTTTTAAATGGCTATAAAGTCCAAACAAAACATATCTAAGGGCCAGATTGCTTCCTCTGGCCAGGCTAGATGATCTATAAGGTCCTTCTGGCTTAATTAGTCCTTGAGGCCCTAGCAGAGGGAGGTAGGTGGCAAGGAAAAGACGGTGGCATTTCCATTAGAAGCTGAACAAACAAACAAACAAACAAACAAAAAACAAAACCCCAAATGCAAGAAGATAGATGCATGCAGAGCTGGAGTAGTCTGGCAACAGGGTCCTGCTTTCCATGTTTTCTGCAGGCTGCCTATGTCCACCTCTTCCCTCCACACCCGCTGACATTGCCCGGTCTCCATTCAGCTGAAACAGTCTGCGTCTATGTCAAAATGGTGGGGAGGTGCATCCAGAAGAGTGTATACTGTTGAGTAGAAAAAGCAAGTGGCTCTCCCTCAGCTCATACAACACAATGACCAACCAGATGTCTGTGACCAAATGTGTGGAGTTTCCTCCCCACAGCAGGCAAGCAATGAATTCTGCAGTGGACATCAGTTGGGTGTCGTCCAATTCAATTCTGACCCTACCTTCCAGGAGACAGTGTAAGACCCCACAGGTTGAGGGCTCCATCCCATAAGACTGCTTCTACTTCAGACATTGGTTGCAATTCTGGGCCTCTAGAACTCCTGACCTACCTATTTCAAGCTGAGTCTCTCACAACCCCCTCTTTGGGTTCAATTAGTTTGCTACAGCAGCTCACAGAGCCTAGGGAAATTTATTTACATTTACTTGTTGATTACAAAGCCTAGTTTAAAGGATGCAAATAAACAGCAAGATTAAGGTAAGGTCTAGGGAGGGCCTTGGAGGATCCTGAGTGCAGAAGCTTCTATCCCTGTGGAGTTGGGGTATGTCACCCTCCTGGAAAGTGGATAAGGTCTTGTTCACCTTACTGTAAACCTCTCTGTGTCCAGCTGTCCAGAAGCGTCCCTGACCCTATCCTCTTGGGCCTTTTGTGGAGACTTCATTGGATAGGCATGATTGACAACTGTGCAGAAATGTGACTGGGCAAAGGGTATGATCTACTACTAATAGGCTGAGTTGGTAAACCCAGCAAGGCCTGCCTGTCCTGTTTCTTCTTGATCTCTGTATAGCATTCCTTCCTCCAAGATATGGGGCAGGACCCCTCCTGAAATGGAAGTCTTATGACCTACAATCAATAAGCTAGGTCCGGGAATTTATTTATGGCTAGCTCCCTGACAGAAAGGTGGGATGGAGGGTAGGGCCTGCCTTGGGGAAAACTAGGAGCAGGTCAAAGCAGGGCAGGAAAAGCTCAGAAAGATTGATTCTGTCTTCTGAGGTCTGCTTCTGAGGTCTAAAGTGCCCCAACATTATAACAAGGGCAATAGGAACTATGAGCCAGGAATCACCAATAAAAACAAAGCCCTTCTAGGGATGGTGCTGAAGGAAGGAACTCCCCAAAAGGGAAGCTACTTCATTTTCATGCATGCATCCATCCATGAATCTATCCATGCATCCATATATTCATCCATCCATCCATCCTCCATCTATGCATGCATGCATTCATGCATCCATCTAGCCATGCATTCATGCATCCATCTATCCATCCATCCATGCATCCATATATGCATGCATCTATCCATCCATCCATGCATCCATATATCCATCCATCCATCCATCCATGCATCCATATATACCCATCCATCCATCCATCCATTCATCCATCCATGCATCCATGTATCCATCCACCATCCATCCATGCATCCATATAGCTATCCATCCATCCATGCATGCATCCATATATCCATCCATCCACCATCCATGCATGTATGCATCCATTCGTCCATGCATGCATGCACACATCCATCTGGCCATCCATGCATGCATGTATCCATCCATCCATGCATCCATCATCCATGCATCGATGCATCCATCCATCCACCATGCATCCATCTGTGCATGAATGTACCCATGCATTCATCCATCATCCATACACCCATGCATCCATCCATCCATGCATCCATCCATCCCTTCATTCAGCCATCCATTCATCCATCCATGCATCTATATATCCCTCCATTCATCCATCCATCCATCCATCCATCCATCCGTCCAGCCAGCCAGCCAGCCAACCAGCCAGCCACTGGTTTATAAACTGTTGAATGCCAATTTATGTTTTATACTACTAGGCACCAGGGACCCTACCAGCAATGGTCTTTTATTCAGAGCCCCCAGGTGCTTCATAGAATACAAATTCTTCTGCTAACTGGTTAAATTCTGATGATAAAGACATTTTTGCAACTTGCTACATCTTCATAATTGTTTTGTTACTGGCCAGGATGCATCTGTCTCAAGAAGGAGCTGCAACTCTCAGGAGCATTCAGAGCACCAGCTTATCCAAACATGCAGTGACTTAGGGACCCTTTCAGCTTGCAATTCCTCCTTGATGTTTTGTGAAGGCAAATTTTCCCCATTTTCAGGCCTTCCAGAAAGGTCAGTTGATGGGTGTGGGGCCCATAGAGAATTTACACTACTGGCAAATAGCAGTTCTTTGGAGGGCGATTTTAGAGGTCACAGCAGATACAAGAACCTAGTTGACTTATAATCCCTGTCTCCATTCATTCCATCAAGGAGGTCACTGAATAAGGTTTTGTCATGTCACTAAAAACAGCCTTCCTTGGGCAGGGAAAAATTCACCATCCTGCTCACAGATCACCTCTGGCTACCTGTCTTGCTTCCAGGGAGGGAATGCAGGGTGAGGTTTGAGGGATGGACCCTAGGGGTTGTCTTGGATATGACAGTCTCAAGTCTAGCAGGTGGTACTCAGAGCTTCCACATTTTCTTTCCTTTATGTGTGGTTCCCAGGGCCAGAAGACCCTAAGCTCGTGTCCTGTTGTGTGAATGGTGTCAAACTATGGAGGGCCACATTCCTGTTTCAGTCCAGGTTGACCATGAGGCCTCACTGGGGCTCCATCTAAGCTCATTAGCACCAGCACCCACGTGGGTGCCAGGCAGCTGTGTCTGGTTTCTAGTGCTTCCTGGTAGCTCTTAGTAATTAGAGATTCCCAAGTGGGGTGTTAGGAATGGGTTCCAGGTATGCAGAGGTATTGACTGATCTTGGTGGAGCCCGGGGTGTACGAGTTCCCAAGCCTTTCACCTATAGCGCTGACCAGCTTTGTCTGTTTACCCCAGAGTGCCCTCAAAAGTGTTGTTTTCTATGCATGTTAATATAGAAAAGTTTGGAGGATACTGTACTCATTGTCTCTAATCAGATAGCAGCTGAGTATCCCATCCTATTTGGCTGGCCTAGTAAGGACCAGGCTGAGCACCAGTCTAGACCAGAGATGCTGAAGTTTCATGTGTATGAGAATCTCTTGGGGAGCTTATTTAAAATGCAAATCCTCAGTCCCCAGTCCCAGAGGGTCTGATTCTCTGAGTTGGAGGTGGGGTCGAGGTATCTTCTGCCACCACTAGCTTGGGGACCCCACTTAGAGAAGATCTCGCTGACGTGCTTGTCCTCTCTTTCATCCTCTCTTTCTTTCAGCTTTTCCTGAGGCTCTTCTTGATGCACAGGGACCTGTGTTGATCCTTGGAGCTGCAAAGCTAAAATGACACTTGAAAGACGGAACAAGTGATTACAAGGCAGTGTGGTGAGTGCCAGAGCATTCTGAGAACTCCAAAGAGACTGGGAGGCCTCCCAGGGAGGAAGGCACCTATTGGCTGGTCTGAAGGAACAGAGAGGAGAGGAGGCTGCAGGGGCAGGAGAGACCTCAGTGGGTGGAGGCAAGCACGGCTGTTCTTTCTGAGCGGGGTAGTGGGTGGGCTGGGACAGTCTGGGGAGAACCTTGCACACAAGCCTGAGGAGCTTGCATTTTGCTTGGAGAGTGACGAGGCGGTAATGGACTGGCATGACCAGGCTTAAGCAGGAAATGACTGGGATTGAGCCATGGGACTCAGGCTGACCCAGGCTCCAAGTGTACTAGACTCTGACCCTGGTGGCTCCAAGACTTGGGAAGGTTGCTTATGCTTTTTGAGCCTCTGTTGCCTCATAAGTAAAAGTGAGTGTGTTATAGAACTCAACTAGGTCTAGTTGCCTGGTATAGTAAAACTAGACATCCACACTGAGGTTTTGCAGTGGGAGAAAAGAAGGTGTTTCTTTTCAGGGCACCCAGCAAGGAAATGCTCATGCTGAAATCCTGGCCTCCTAGATGGCTGGTAGGTAAGCGTTTTTAAAGGCAGGGGTAAATTTCAGGAAAGCAGAAGTTACAGCTGAAATCATGAGTGAATACAAGGAGACTTGGTTTTGGCTCTAAAAGGGTTGGCTATCGTGAGGCAGGGCTTATAGGTCATAGAGAGATTCAAAGTTTTCTGATTTGCAATTGGTTAAGGAAGAGAAGTTTTATTTAAAAATTTGGGATCAGGGGCCAGAGAAGAATGTTAGCTCTGGCTCGTGGGTGTGAATCCCTTCAGGCCACTCAGGAAGAAATTTAGAACTAAGAACAGTAGTCAGTTTGGTCCCCGCTTCCCCCTTATCTGAGGTCTGTGTGCTGTTGGATCTGTTTGGTGGGGGTCCAGATGTTTGAAAAACAACTCAGGGACGTATGTTAAGATGGTATATCTTTAGTTTCTATAGGGAACCAAACATCTGACCCTAACTTTCTGGGCTGTTGTTTTTAGTTACTATTACCCTCTTGCTTATCAAGTTATTTGTTTACATCTCAGGACTAGCTAGGTCCCTAAAGTTTCTCTTGAAGGAATTCAAGATTTGCCTTTATTTCCATGCTTGGGGAGCCTGCAGGTCCCTAAAAAAGGGGTCCCTGCTCCGTCTCAAGGGTAATCATATCTAATTATAGGGTCACTGGAAGATTAAATGGCATGGCATATGAGAAAGCTTTTGGCGCAGTGCCTGACATCTAGTGATCATCAATAAAATAATACCCCTTACATTCCCTAGCCATATGACTGGCAGCCAGTAGGCAGGGGGAGGGGCTGAGTGAGGGTCTCTGGGCAAAAGCTGGTAGAAGGCTGTCTCTCTAGGCCTGGACAAAGGGAATATGGGTGGATGGAGGGCTGGAGGTTCTGTGGGGAGGGTCACTGGCACAGCAGATAAATAAATGGATGTGGAGGTCTGGGGCATCCTCTGTATCTGGAAGGAGATGGGGACACGGGGTGGATTTGAGGTCACCCTGGGAGGGATTGGCATGAGAAGTGGGTCTAGGACAAAATTCTGGAGAACAACGTATTTGAGGAGCTAACTGAAGAGAAGTCAGAAAAGGAATATAGGGAGAAGCAGGAGGGGCCACATCATGCAAGCTGAGGGCATGGCCGTGGCTGGCAGCGCGCACTGTGGAGCAGTTGGCAGGAGGCTTGCACAACTGGACCAGGCTCCAAAGGTCATGGCGGTCTTTGTGGTCCGGTTGGAAAAGCAAGGGCCCCGAGGGCACTGGGCAGACTCTTGAGAAGATTCAAGATCATGGGAGGAGGGCTTAAAAAAATGAAGTGCTGTGTGCAGTTTCCATGGCATGGGGAAGGGGCCATCGGCCTGAGAGTGGCTTTGAAGTGGGGAGGGGGAGAGGAGGGAGGTAAGAGGCAAAGGCTGAAGGTTTCATGGGTGGGTCAGGCAGGGAGTTAGTGGGGGCTGCCTGGGGGGTCCCAGTTGTCTCTGAAGGAGGAAATACTTGAGCTGGAGCTTAACAGAGGGAAAGCATCAAACAGACAGGTCAAAGGGCATTCCGGATTAGGCTGAAGAGGAAAAGGAGGGATGAGGTGTGGAGGTGGAAAACTGGCTAGAAAGGGAGGGGCTGAATTGCACAGAGATGGCCTGACAGCACAGGACACGCACAGCCGTGAGTGACAGCGTGTTGATGGCCAGGTCTCATCACTCCTGAAGGGCTGGGGCCCTGTAGGCCAAGAGGTGGCACCGGGGGCCGGAGAGCCCTTCCAGCGTACTCAGGTGGCATGGCAGCCATGGGAGCAGGGCGGAGCCCCTCCTTGCAGAGAGGAGGCAGGGGCTGAGTCATTCAAACCTTAAAATATTGTTCAAGGTTCAGGAATGAACGATAGTTTGCCCTTCTCCTTCTCTCTACTCCTGGGTTTGTTGTTTGTTCTGGTTCCCCCCCACCCCCCCCTGCCACTCCTCCCCACAACCCACAGTCTCTGGAGACTGAGCCAGGGTCTCCATGTTGCAGTTACATCTTGTCGATTTAATTTGGCCCCCTTAATAAACAGAGGGTGGGGCAGAGGCTTCGAGGGAAGGATGGAATTAAAACCACATCCTGGAGTAACGAGATCTCCGTTTGGCCTCCTTCCCTTCTTTTCCCACTCCCAGGCTCTGCTCCTCTACCCTCCTTTCTTGGAGAGAAGCACAGCTCTGCTTGCCTCATGGAAGTCAGTGGGAAAATTCTGTTCACATTCCATATATAGTCACCACTCAGGATGTGGGGGGATTGGCTTCAGTACCCCTCGCAGATATCAAAATCCACAGATGTTCAAGTTCCTGATATAAAACGGTGTCATGTTTGCATGCAGCGTCCTGTGTACCTTAAATCACACATCCTCTTGTGTACTTTAAATCATCTCTAGATTACTTAGAATACCTAACACAATGTGAATGCTATGCAAATAACTGTTATACTGTATTGTTTACAGAATAATGACAAGGAAAAAAGTCTGTACATGTTCAGTACAGATGCATTTTTTTTTCCAAATATTTTTCAATCCTTGGTTGAATCTATGGACACAGAATCCATGCATATGGGGGCTGACTCTATAACCTTGTTGGCATAAACCAGTTCCACAGTGAGAGAGCTTCGAGGAGAAGAATCTGTTTATGAAAGTATTTATAATTGTGTTTGGATGACTGCAGGCTTGCTCTTGGGCAGAGCAGAGCTGGGCTATAAAACAGGGTGGGAAGATTTTCCCATTAATGGAAAACTCCCTGTTTGCCCTGACCCTTGGAGAAGGGAATGGAAGAAAGCTTCTGAGTGATGTGGCCTTTGGGAGACTTCATGAGAGGGAAAAGCCAGGGAGCAGATCTGAGCTGCTAAGAGATGATCTGTACAGGAACTGACTTGTAATAAAATCAAATTTCAATTCTCCAGGGTTGGCATTTACGACTCAAGATTGGCTTCTGAAGTCTCATTTGTCTTCCGGGATTCTGCTTCCCTTGGCTCTCTCAAGCCTGCGGGGCTCTATGGCCACTCCCTGCTGGCTTTAGGTGGCTGACCCAGCCCAGGTTTGAGCTCGGATCATTGCCTCAATTTCCCTAGATACCACTGAGTCAAGATTAGGGTACTTAAAATATTGTTCAAGGTTTAGGAATGACAAAGGAGAAATAAACACAGAAAGTAGCATGAAATCAGTTCAGGTACCAGGGACAAGGATGCTGCTTCTTCACTGGAGAGTCTCCCTCCTGCCCAGGGCTCTCTCCCTGGCTCTGGCCCTCCACAGAGGCTACCTTTTCCCACCTCTCCTGTCCCTGGGACGTAGCTTTGCCTTGGGGGCCCCAAAGAACAACTTCCTCAAACAACATCAAATAAGCCCATGGAAGGGAGAAACACAGTGACACAAGCTTGGTTGGCCACTGTAATCCTTCTTTAGCCATTTTCCTGGACTTTGGGGTGTTCACACTCCTTGGCTTCAGTGGCAGCAGAAGGTCATGAGGCGATTTGTTAGGACAGGGTCTCCATTGTTGCATCTTGTTTTTTTTTTTCTGAAACAGGGTCTCACTCTGTCACCCAGGCTGGAGTACAGTGGCACAATTTCAGTTTACTGAAAACTCTGCCTCCTGGGTTCCCGCAACTCTCCTGTTTCGGCTGCCTGAGTTGTTGCAAATGACAGGATCTCATTCTTGCTTATGGCTGAAGAGTACTCCCTTGTGCATATGCATCACACTTTCTTTATCCATTCACTTATTGATAGATGCTGATATGGTTTGGCTGATATGGTTCCGTTTGGGAATAACTGAATCATCCTTCAGTTATTCTACCACAAGAACAGTGTGGGGGGAATTTCCATACTGTTTTATAAGAGGAAACCCTTTTGCTTGGCTCTCTCATTCTCTCTTGTCTGCTGCCGTGTAAGACATGCCATTTGCCTTCTGCCATGATTGTGAGCCCTCCCCAGCCACGTGGAACTGTGAGTCTATTAAACCTCTTTTTCTTTATAAATTATCCAGTCTCAGGTATGTCTTTATCAGCAGCATGAAAACGGACTAATACAGACACTTAGGTGCTTCCAGATCTTGGCTGTCATGAATAATGCTGCAGTAAACATGGGAGTGCAGGTATCTCTTCAATACACTGATTTCTTTTAGGCATATACCAGCAGTGGGATTGCTGGATTCATATGGTAGCTCTATTTTAAGGAACCTGCAAACTGTTTTCCCATAGTGGTTATACTAATGTGCATTCCTACCAGCAGTGTGCAAGGGCTCCTTTTCCTCCACAGCCTCGCCAGTCATTTGTTATTGCTTGCCTTTTGGATAAAAGCCATCTTAACATGGGTGAGATGCTATCTCATTGTAGTTTTGATTTGTGTTTCTCTGATGATCAGTGATGGTGAGCACCTTTTAATATGCCTGTTTGCCATTTGCATGTCTTCTTTTGCGAAACGTCTGTTCAGATCTTTTGCCCATTTAAAAACAGGATTA